ATATTTAGATACTTTCCCTACTTTTCTCATAAAATATAATGGAAAAACAATTTAGAGTTAGAAAATTAGAGTGCCCATTTGTGGAATATAGCACTGTAGAACTGTCCTCCTGTTGTTCATTGGCACCAGTAACATGTCTATTGTGAGACTTGTTATATTGCTTTTGGCATATTGAATACATCATGGGTAGCTTGCCAGGTTCTGCCCTGTGGGCAGACTATCTCTCAGTAGCTTGTTGGGTTCTCCGAGAGGGATGAAGAAATTGAACCCAGATTGGCTGCATGCAAGTCAAATGCCCTTCCCACTATGCTATCGCTCCGCCCAAGTAGTGACCCGCCTGGCTAGTTCAGTAGGTAGAGCATGAGACTATGAGACTACCTACTGAAGGAGCTAGGCATGAGTATTTTTTTTTTAGTGTGGAATATAAAATAACATAATATGAGACCGATACCCAAGGACAGTAGACACAAGGGTGAGGAATATTGCTCCATAGTTATAAGCCTGCCTCATGAGCTGGAGGAGAAAGCAGCTTGAATAGAGAAGGGATCACTAAGTCAATGATGTTTGGAGGAATATTTCAGAATGGGAGATGTGTGCTGAAAATAGATAAAGGAACAAACGTGAAAGCCTCTCAGTGTCTATATTGCAAATCACAATGCTCAAAAGTAGAGAATGAATGAGTATGGGGAAGTTGTCTGCCAAAGAGGCAGGGAAGGGGGAGCAGACTGGGGACACTGGTGGTGGAAAATGTGCACTGGTGAGGGATGGGTGTTGTATCATTGTATGACTGAAACTCAAACAAAAAGCTTTATAACTGGAGTTCATGGTGATTCAATTAAAAAAAAAAAGAATTTAAGAAAAGAAAAAAAGAGTGTCATTCATTCTTACTCTGCATATTCTTGGATAATTTTTTTTTGGTGTGTTTGTTTAGAAGGCACACACCAGGTACTGCTCAGGGCTTCAAGGCTTACTCCTGTCTCTGCACTCAGGAATTACTCCTGGGCAAGTGCCCAGCAGCTATATTATTGCTCCTGCCCCTGGGATAAAATTGTTACCATGCCCTTGCCTTTGACATCTCACTGAGCATAGGGAGTATACTATATACAGATAGAAAAGATACACTGTATAACTCACCTCCTAAAGTTATTTTTTCTTCATGTAAAATCATAAAACAGAACATGCAGATATACTTTAGTAAATAAGATTCTTGGATAAGTTCCACTGAATAATTCGAGTCTGCACTGAGAGAACCAGATGTGAATGCAAGGAAAAACTAATCATGTTCTATTATGGAGTAACTATTTTAATATGTAAAACTAGAAACACAGAAAGGTCAATAATCTAAAATAACTTAGAGAAATGTTATGATGCTATTAGAATTAGACTATACCTGTAAGGGTTTTTTGCTCTCTTTTTTATGGGAGAAGGGACAAAAGATAAGTGAAACACATAGAAGACTAAGTGCTATAAAATTAAATAGTCAATTGATCAAGTTTTACTATTATTTTATGTAGAAATGTGTGTATAGTAACAAGCCTGGTTATCAGGAGGACTGCATTCTAGATGTGATTGGACATTATTAAGTTTGGCAGATAACTTTGGCTTTTAGAGCTTCCCATTCTCTCCGATTCAAATAGAGAGATGACTAGTAATTATTGTTCATTGTTTCTCAGCCCTTAATAACATTGTGTACACAATATTATATATAAGTTTAATTGTATAAACATGTATTTATGAGCTGTGTATGCTGTTTAATTCTATTAGTTTAAGGACTAGTTTAATGATCTAAATATATAAAAAGAGCATTCAAAAGATTCCTTGATGATTAAGATCTCTTAATCATCTATTTCCTTCTTTCAATCTATTTCCTTCTTTATAGAAAGTGGTTGGGTTGGAACTGATAGGGTTAGGTGAAACTCATGGAACTCAGTAAATGTTTGCCTCCATGACAGGACACACATCCTTTGGGTTTAGTTTTCTGTCATAAAAATGACAACACCTAATCTGATTGTGGTCAGGGCTGAATATAAATGAGCATAAAGACTATCTAGTCTATACCTTCTATATCTGTTGTTCCATTAATGTTCTTTTCATCTCATTTACACTTTAGAAGCTAGTACAGGGTCCATGCACTGTGTGTATTCAGTAACTTGCTTATGGTTTCATATTTTTCAAAATTTATTTTTATATTAAGCTATGTATGTGGGTGGGGTTCTAAAGGGGCTTTAGGGGAGCACAACACCTTGTGGTGCCCAGGAAATACATGCACTTGTATTTTATTATTATTTTTTATTTTGTTAGGTTTTTTATTTGGCTTGGGGGCCACACCGATGATACTCAGGCATACGTCTGGCTTCTGAATTCAGGAATCATCCCTAGTGGTGCTCAGGGAACTATATGGGATGCTGGGGATTGAACCTGTGTCAGCTGCATGCAAGGCAAGTACCCTACTTTCTCTACTATTTCATTGGCCCCAATTCATGAATTTTAAACCTTGTGGTAGTACCTGTAACTATAAGGTTGAAAATCCTTTCAAAATTGCCTATTCACAAAAGTATGTCTTAATAAAATATGGATAGAAATAAGAAACTAATTTCTTAGTAAGCATAGAAAATCTCCAAGATTTTGTTCATTTAAAAATTACAGAACCAGCAAATTGAGTTTCCCATTTATTTTCAAGGCTCATTCAGAATTGACTCAGATGAGATGATAGCTTTATGCATTTTCTTTAGTGTCTCCATAATAGAGAACTACTTAAAATCCCTTTACACAACCCACTGTAATTGGTTTGTGCCATCCTTTCATATAGGTCAAATTGTTGGGAAAAAAAGTAAATTATATCTCTGTTGATCCAAATCTTCAACAATGCTAAAGGTTCCTTTCTAATTTAAAAGAGAAAAAATCTTCTTTTTTTTAAAGAAAACGCTTTAGTGTTCATTAGAAGAGTACACTTGAGAATTAGTGCTTTGAACATTTGCAAACTGATAGCAATAAATGAATCACCAGGGTAAACCTCATGCGTAAGAAGTGATTCCATCATTCTGATTCCAGATATTTTTTCAGAAGGACAGAGTTTTCCCAATCAGGAGTATAGAATGAGTTATACTCTCCTTAAGTTACCTTCCACTATGTTATTTATAAAATTCATACAGCTAAACTATTTATCCTTTATAATTCTTCATCATTTGTTAGATAAAGTGCCTAGTCCTAACTTTATCGTATGGGAAAAGTTTTTCTCAGGTATTTAGTTATGAACTGATTTTTTGTACCCAATCAAGGTGAGAGCAACCTTGGTCACTTCGTTGGTACTCTTATGCCCACATCTCCCAAGCTCTTGGCTAAACAAGAAAATATCAAGCCAGCAGACAAAGGCAATATATAGACACACTAAGGAACCACTGCAGTATTTTGGTGATCTCCCAAGCTGCTAGTTGGCTAGTCTCTCACCTTGTCCTTACCTCTGTTTCTTTCTCTTATTGATATTTTTGTCTCTCAAAATGTGTCCTTTTAAACTATAGCTTTACTTTATGTGAACTATATCCTCTTTATCCTTTCTACTTCCATTCCTCCATTAAGGCACATTTAATTTGATTTTCCCTTCAAAATATTGCATTTTTTGTTCAAAAAGAACAACTTTTTATAATTTCTCACACACACTTGAAAGTGATTTCACTTTACTTTTCCCTTCTAGTACAGTGAACTGTCTTATCTCATGTTGATAAAGCATTTATCAATCGCCACATTCAGAAATTTTTTTTATTTTCATAGAAAATTTTTGTGGGTAGAAGTTGGTAAGTTTAAGGCCACTCCCTATTTTTAACCACTTCATTCTCCAATGAAGTAGTTCTCTGTTTTCTCCTTCCTTTACTTTCTTGTCACTTATGGATCCACCGCCATAGTTATCCAATTTCTTTTTTATCTTTTTGCCTTTTCTTTCTTTTTTTTTTTGCTTTATTATAAAAGAAATGTTGACCTCAACTTCGATTCATGCCATTCAGCACTGAAAGTGTTAAATTGTCTGACATGTTCTATTCATGCTAACTCTAATATTTGTTTTGATTATTTAATTATTTTTGGTGTCATCAAAGATATACTCCTAGTGGAGGAGGTTTTCTGTTTACATAGAAGCTGTATCTGCCTGTTTATTTTCTCGTGATAGTCACTGCCTCAAAATATACATCAATCATCCTCCCTCACTGCTACATGCCCACTTTGTAAATTTATTGTACTTGACTTTTTGTAACTCCAGAAAACTATTCTTGACAACTTTTATTGTCAATATATCAAAATAAATGCATGTGTACTTGCCTTCATTAATCTCTTATCATCCTCTATTCCTGAAAACTTCTCTTTTAAATTAGTTCATTCACCACAAAATTTGGTTTGATCCCCCTACACAGAACCCACACCAATACCGGTCCTGAGGGGAGTTCACTTTGAAAAATCAACTTTCCTCTTGTCATGCAAAGCCCACACATGCTGTGCTAGATCACCAAGGAAAAGGAGACAGGAAACTGCTCATCAAAGAAACAAATACAACAATCAGCAGCGCTGATCTTCCTGTGCTGGTGTGTGTGTGTGTTTCACTGAATATTCATAGCACTTCTTTATTTATGTGAATGTATTTTGAAAATTGGAGCACGGTTTTATTCTACCATGATTATTTCATAAATATCACGTTATTACTTAAAATAAAGACACGAATTATAAGCAAACATCACCCAGGCCAGAAAAGAAAAGAAAAACAAGCCTCTTCAAAGTTCTATACATCCTCCCTGGCTGGCTCTCCATTCCCCTGACTCATCACCATCCCCTTTAACAGTTTCATACTTTCAAACATCCTGTCAGAGACTTGGCATTTAACTGCGGTGGTTTGCCAGCCCCACACAGTACCACGACGACCACCACCACCACCACCATCAGCAGCAGCATTATTTCACTCCACAGAGGTGCTTCTACCAAGACCCTCTCTCTCCCCAGCATTTGGTATTAAAACTTACCGCTTTTACCAACTCCCCCTGCTCCCAGCATTACCACCTTGTACTCTCTGGACCCGCCTGATGCGCTGCTGGGGGAGCAGCTGGCTTCGCTTTCTACCTCCATCTTACCCGAGAGACAGGAGGAGGCAAAAAAAAAGAAGGGGACACAAAACAAAAAAGTCACCAGTGTCAGGTGCTGGCTCGGATATGAAGCAACTCTAAAACTGTGTCAAAAGAAAGGTTTAGTACGAGGTAAGAACCATCAGCGTCGGGCTGGCTGCTGGTCCTCTGCTCCGGCGGGTCTCATAGCAACCGCTTCAATTGCTTCCAATAAAAATCTGGCTCCTGCACACCCCCACCCCCCGCCGCCCGCCTCGTTCAGATCCTTCACTCCTTCCCGTCTCCCGTGATTTCCCTCAGACACTTTCCCTCTGAGCCTTTCTGCTCTGCTTCTTTCTCCATTTTCCTTCTTTGCTCCCTCTTTTCTCTCCCCTCCCCCTGCACAAGTGCCGTGGTTAGAAACCCCTACATCTGGCGACCTTGCAGGTGGGGCTGCTAGAATGGAGTGAATGGGAAACTTGATAGAAGATGCTATTTCTTAGAGCCTGACTTCTATAGCTCCCACCGATTTTCTTTTAATCGGTGTCAATTCATTAAGAACCCCGTGTGTGTCTTATCTCCTTGCTTTTTATTGCCACCCTCTTGCTCCGTTCTCATTCTGGAAAAAGGAATGCCACACATTTAGGAGGAGAAAAGCGCACCGTTAACTCAGCTCTTAAGGACGGGTCTTTAGAGTTGCAGAAAGAATAGCTGGCGAGCAGGAATTGTTTCAGCTCCTCTGACAGTTGCCGTTTTAATGGAGCTATTTGAATTAGGTCATCCTCATGTGCAGACATGGATCACCTTTGTTTACACTGGCTCGTTAAAAGCAATCTGAAAGATAAGGAGCCTGTCATGTGCAAACAGACACTTCATTTTAAGCTGGTAATTGCAATAAAATTGACGATCACTGAAGACTAATCTTCAGCTGTTCAACTTTCCACATTTTATTTTCATTCTTTTACCATGTTGAGGATTTGTCTCCACCCCCATCCACCCTCCTGAGATTTAAAACTTAGAAGTCTTAAGATGTGGGGGTGATTTCTGATTGTCAGACAGACTCTAGCCTTCAAAAATATAGTAATAGTATTCTTCCTAATATTTTGTCTGATTTTTGATTGTTCAACTGGAAAGTGATGTTGTACAGTCAAGTGTTTGTGTTGGGAGGTTTGTCTTTTCAGCTAGATATTAAGCTCCTTTAGAGAAAGAATTCTATTTAATCAGTTTATTGCTGACCTAGAGAGCGTGGGCAAGTGCTCAGCTCAGAGTTGATATTCAATATTCTTGCTGGTAATTGGAAAGAGGCAGATCAGATCACTGGGGCCAAGAAACAGGCTCTGGGGCATAACCAGGCTTGTGTTCAAATCTGTGCTCACACACTTACTAGCTTTGTATGTTTGGGAAATTCCTGTGCTCCAGTTTCATCACCTATAAAATGACTATTAAAATTCTGCTTTATCAAATAACTCATTAAATGAGTTCAATGTTTGCAGAGTGCTTAAAGCCTTGTCAAGTTTGAAGCCTTATTTAAGTGTATGACATTATGATTATCTTATTACCTTTGTTAATGGTGTTCTTAGACCACTGTTGATAAGTACTCATCAGAGCAGAAGACCATCTCGTTGGGTGGTTATTACCCATCTGTGTATCTTCTTAGCTAAAGTATCGATTCAAACCATTTGCTTTTTTTTATATGATTTTTTTTCTTACCGAATATTGAGTGTTCTCAAGTCATTTATCAGTTGTATGTGCCACAGTTATTTTCTATTAGTCTGTGGCTTTTAACTATCTTTCACAAAGAGCCAGGGTCTCATATTTTGATGGTGTTCAATTTGTATTATAAATATTATTTCTTTTCTGAATTATCCATCAAATTTAATTTTATTTGGGAGATGCTCCCAAACAGTCCTCAGAAGGCCTGGGCACTCTACCAGTGATTTTCTGCCAATCTGGCTGTTGACTTAACATGAGGGCTTGAAGATGTAATGCTACCTATTCCTGTAGTTTCAGGGGTTACCCAAGCTTGGGGGCTGTGCTAGAGGTCCTTAAGGGTGATATAGTCGTGGCAGGCAACTATATAATATAGGGATCAAATCCAATGCTGACTACTACACTATCTCCCAGGCTCTATCCTTGAGATTTTTTTAAAAAATCATGTCTGTTCCTTCCTAGTTCTCTTCACATTTTTCTACTCCTCCATTGAAACTTTCTAATAGTTCTAATACCTTTATTAATCATTATTCTGAGATCAACTACCAAATTAATAACTCTAGACCCAGTTTATATTCTGAGCTTCAAAAGTAAATCTATTTTCTAAATGTTCCCTTAAGAAACATTGCTTTTATGTTGAGTTAAAAGACAGAATTCTCACACCTAGCAGTGCCAATTTTTTTTTAACCTTTATAGAGCACAATATCTTCTCCAAATCTTATCTTGCATTCAGCTTCCTCATCTTTTAGCTCCATAACTTAAACAGTTCCATAACTTTTCCTCCCTTGGTACAATGTTCCTGCCCCTTTCTTTATCCGCACTGCTTAATTCAGCCTGCACATGGATGTCATAAAAATCATCCAAAAATATCTACCTAAATGATCCTATTATACACATTTTTGTAACTCAGATAGTACAATGTTAGAGCTTAGAGTAGCACGGAGAGACACAAAACATTTATTCTATGTTTCTGCCCCCATGCTCCATAGATTATATTTTGACCATGTTGCCTTTTCTCTGACAAACTATTATTCTGATAATTTGATCTAATAAAGAACTGAGGCTATATTATAATTATCCTGTAATTGCTTCATTAGGTCTTTATTTCTCAAAGAAAAGAACTAGATAAACAATGATATGTGGCTTCAAGGTCTTTCTCAATTTTGTTTCTTTCTGGTGCAGACATTCTCATGACTTTGAACAAATAAATTACTTAACTCCTAACTATCTGTCCCACCATCTGTTACTGTTTTCCATGTCAGCCATTCTTATTTGGTGGTAAAGGACAGGAATTGTCATGCCAGCTGTGTCCTTGGTTCTGTTCTTTATCTGGCATAGTTGTTGGAAGAATAGAAATTCTTAGAAATGTTGCTTAACAGTACATAAATGAATGACTTACCAAACAGCAGTGGGCACTGGGACAGGGAATTTAACTAGTGAAGTGGACTTCTTTTCAATGGTAATGAATTTGTCCATAGCCTTCATATTGAAGTCAGAAGGATGTTTACCCTACTTAAATAGAAGAAAGCATGAAGTGTAAGCCTGAAGTGTAAGGACATTTTTTCTTGATTCTAAAGTCTTTTGTCAACCGCCCTTTGTTATTTTATTTCAATTTTCCCCTTCTTATTTTCTAAAGGACATATATCCTTATAAATGTTAATGGATAAATTTTTATGATCCTTGGCTTTAGTTAAGTAGTTTTTCATATAAATTTGCCTTAGTAATATGTATTAGAGTATGAGAGCAAGAGAGAATGGAAGAAGGGAGAAAGAGGCCAAAGTGTGTGTGTGTGTGCAGATACCCACACACACACACACACACACACACACATACACACACACACACACACACACCGCCACCACCACCACCATAGAGTCACAGAAAGAGAAAGAGAGAGAGGAGAGAGAGAGAGAGAGAGAGAGAGAGAGAGAGAGAAAGAGAAAGAGAAAAGGGGCATCTTCCAGGTGTATAAGTGCTGATTGAAATTGAATCTTTAAGTAACCAAATCATTACATGGCAGATTGCTTTGCTCTCGGGAAAATTATTAAATGATTGAAGTTAGCATTTGCTTCCTCTGACTTACCCTGGCAGTTGCTAGCCTTTTTGTATGCCATCTGATTTCCTTTGAGTGCTCATCTCCATCAAATGAAGACCCAGGTGTTCCATGTTCATTCAGAGCCACTCAGCTCCCTGAGCAGGATCCAAGTACTCTCCGCCTCCTTACTTTGCCCGTGCTGCTCACCTCTCCAGTCCTTCTTAGAGGACAAAAGAGGAAACTAATTTAACTGGCAATTCCTTCAAAAGGAATGCATTAGCTTTATTTATATGGATGGCTTTCTAAAATCCTTTAGGGAACTGCCAAGGCATCCAGTCACTGGGATAAGTCTCTGGGGGAAAAGTTTGATGCATAAGAATAACTGCAAGTTAATCATATTTTTTATCTTTCAGCTCACTGACAGTACTACAGAGACCTTTGTCTGCAAAACCACTCTTTTCTCAATAAAAAGCATTTATGTATTACTACAATAATTAATTTGCATTTTTGTCCGAACATATGCATCTGTATCTCTCCAGAGTTTAGAACAGTGATTGGAATGTTGCAAAGTAACTAAGATTTGCTAAGAATTGCTATTTTGTTATAGCAATTGCACCAGGTGGGTAATTGGCTATTATAACTATTAGTAGCTATAACTTCCAAAATGTATTATTTACTATTTATAATTAATAGATTAAACATCTATAACAGAAATAGCAATTTAGTTGATAACCTTTAAGGAAATTAGTGTTTGCCAATGCATGCTTTCCCTATAAAATATAAGATCATTATAAACTAGAAGATAGTAATATTTCACAGGACAAAAATACACTGGGAATATTAAGTTCAAGAAATGGAAAAAAACATTAATTTTTCAAGTGAGAGTCAGAGTTCTGTCTATAGAACACAATTTCTATATCATATTGACCTCCTCACAAGCATGCATAGTAACACTTACAATTGATGTTAATATGTTTGTTATCAATTTCATCTTTTTTCTGAAGGCTTATTTAGATTGACATACCTTATGAAGTCAAATGAGAGATCTTTATTTTCAAAAATTTATATGTGCTTTGTTCATTAAATATTAATTAATTTGTTCATTCTCAAATTAACTTAGTCATACTAGGGATTTTTTAAATTAAAGGAAAATATAATACAGTCTATGAGTTCAATTTTATTATGCTTTCAAGTGAGAGAAAAAAAATCTCCAAACCAGACTCTGGAGTAAGTTATAATATGGCAAGCATAGATGAGTGAGTAGAGTCTGATAGTACCTCAAGGGAAGGAGAGACAGATTCCAAAGTGGAAAACTAGTTAAGGTGTCAAAAAAAGGGGGAGTGCCTTAGGCTAGATTTAAAGTAGTGCTTCAAATGGAAGACATTGCAAATACCAGGGATATTTAAAAGCTTAGAAAACAGAGGGTTTTGAGAACTGCAAGTTAATCTATACATGAGTATTGTTTAAGAATATGATATGGCTGGGAGAGTGCTCAACCAGATGGA